GGAGAGAGATTACAGTATATTGGGTAATAAGATTTGGGAAATCGAGTCCTCTGCTGATTGTAGAGCTGTCAGTAGAGCCGAGGTCAGAGACTTTCATCAGCTCTGGGAGGTTTCCGATCACACGTGGTGATGTGGTCAGATCTACACGCGTGTATTGTGTCAGGACGCGTTTCCCAATAACAGAACATGTTTCCACATTGATCATCATGGTCTTGTGTCATGAATCAGCCACAGATGACATCGCTGACCCAGAGTTGTTAAAGGGGCTCTCCTCTCACATGAGGAACGAAGGGGACATCTTGACGGGGGTCATCAGACGTACAGGGACAATCCAATTACCGTCAGGCACCTGGATCTCAAGCACAAGTGGGGGGCACTAGGTACCCCTCTGCTGCCACCTAATCCGGGGGAATTAGGGGGTCGCTGTTTGCTCCCAGAAACCTCAGCTGGAGGTCATAGTCATGAGATGGTAGAAGATTGATGGGGTCATCTCATGGACACCTCTAGGTTGCCATGTGGCAGTGTGTAGAGAAGAAGCTTCATGGCTGTTATTCTCTCCATGATCTGGGCTCCCCGGCCCACCCGCTGGTCAAAATCTTTCAGTTTTTACCTTTAATCTTCCAGGAAAATGAAACAAGGGTTCTGATTGGCCAGTAACAGTAACAGCCTTGTTTTATATCAGGATACTATAGTGTAAAGGGAGCCACCTGGTCGATTAACACCCGGATCTGCCTTCACCAGTAGGACTGTGACATACATGGATGGTCATATCATATACCATGAGCAAACCCCGCTGTCACCGGTCTTATATTGGGGGTAACAGTCAGGAAAACCCATATTAGATTGATCCCCTAGCAGAGGTCCGTCGGACCAGAGTGCCTGAGGAGGTCACTGATGACCTCAACCACGGGGGCATGACCTCAACCACCGAGACATGACGTCAACCATGGGGGCATGACCTCAACCACCGAGACATGACGTCAACCATGGGGACATGACGTCAACCACAGCAGCATGGCCTCAACTATGGGGACATGACCTCAACTATGGTGACATGACCTCAACCACGGGGGCATGGACCCAAGCCCGGGGACATGACCTCAACTATGGTGACATGACCTCAACCACGGGGGCATGGCCCCAACCCCGGGGACATGACCTTAACCATGGAGACATGACCTCAACTATGGGGACATGACCTCAACTATGGAGACATGACCTCAACCACAGCAGCATGACCTCAACCACAGCAGCATGGCCTCAACTATGGGGACATGACCTCAACTATGGTGACATGACCTCAACCACGGGGGGCATGGCCCCAACCCCGAGGACATGACCTTAACCATGGAGACATGACCTCAACTATGGTGACATGACCTCAACTATGGTGACATGACCTCAACCACAGCAGCATGACCTCAACCACAGCAGCGTGGCCTCAACCACAGCAGCGTGGCCTCAACCATGGGGACATGAGGTCACTGATGGTCAATCATTTCCCAATCTGATCACCAATAATCAGATAATTGATATTACCAATAATGGGTGATAGTTGTCTCCTGTCTATGGGCTGCGTTATGTTCTCAGGTCCCCTTCAGTCAGCTTTAGCTGCACATTGTGTACCCATCATACACAGAGGAGGGTTCTATGTGCTGTGGCCGGACATGTGATGATTACACAATTGTTTTTCCTGCTGGTAAATATACAGCCAGAAATGTGTCTGCCGGATCCGATCACGTGACCAGAGCTGGAGGTTTCTAAGAATTCTCTTATAAGAAATTTATAAGAAAACTAAAAGGGGAGGAGTCTAAGGACACATTCAGACTTCAGGTCGGTCCATTCCAACTAATATGCTTGCAAAAAAAAATAGACATGCACCATTTTTGGCTATGCAGAGCACCACAATGCACATTATGGCACCTGTTAACATGCGGTGCATCAAGGCACATGCATTCACTACCTCTGACCATCTCCTATTGCATGTCTGTAGTCTGTGACAATCTCCTGTAGTATGCCCGTAGTCTCTGACCATCTCTTCTACCATCCCAATAGACTCTGACCATCTCTTGTACCATGCCCATAGTCTCTGACCATCTCTTGTACCATGTTCATAAACTGACCATCTCTTGTACCATGTTCATAAACTGACCATCTCTTGTACCATGTTCATAAACTGACCATCTCTTGTACCATGCCCATAGTCTCTGACCATCTCTTGTACCATGCCTATAGTCTCTGACCATCTCTTGTACCATGCCCATAGTCTCTGACCATCTCTTGTACCATGCCCATAGACTCTGACCATCTCTTGTACCATGCCCATAGACTGACCATCTATTGTACCATGCCCATAGTCTCTGACCATCTCTTGTACCATGCCCATAGTCTCTGACCATCTCTTGTAGCATGCCTATAGATTCTGACATTTCCTGTTACATGTCTATAGTTGCCCATAGTCTCTGACCATCTCTTGTACCATGCCCATAGACTCTGACCATCTCTTGTACCATGCCCATAGACTGACCATCTATTGTACCATGCCCATAGTCTCTGACCATCTCTTGTACCATGCCCATAGACTGACCATCTCTTGTACCATGCCCAGAGTCTCTGACCATCTCTTGTACCATGCCCATAGACTGACCATCTCTTGTACCATGCCCAGAGTCTCTGACCATCTCTTGTACCATGCCCATAGTCTCTGACCATCTCTTGTACCATGTCCATAGTCTCTGACCATCTCTTATACCATGCCCATAGTCTCTGACCATCTCTTGTACCATGCCCATAGACTGACCATCTATTGTACCATGCCCATAGTCTCTGACCATCTCTTGTACCATGCCCATAGTCTCTGACCATCTCTTGTACCATGTCCATAGAGTGACCATCTCTTGTACCATGCCCATAGTCTCTGACCATCTCTTGTACCATGCCCATAGTCTCTGACCATCTCTTGTAGCATGCCTGTAGATTCTGACATTTCCTGTTACATGTCTATAGTCCCTGACAGCTTTCGTTATCATTAGATGCACTATTATGTGCGGCCCTTTGGTGATGTCAGGGGCCACACTTGAGGCCCACGATATAAGTTGACCTCCCACTATCAGTATAGACGGTGAAACATTTCCTCGGTTGTGGGTGGCAGACATTTGTCTTTCCTCGATGTCATTCCATTCTGTATAATCGTATTTCTTCTATACAGGTCTCCGCTGCTACTCCAAATTCCACCGCAACCAGAGAGTGACGAGGAGGAAAGGGCGCTGCGTGGACCCCGAATCCATCAACAAGGACCAAGGATCGTTTATTTCTGTCTGAGCGCCCTGCGACCTCCCGCCCGCCATGTAGCAGACGCCGTTCGCTGTCGTGTCCCCGGCTGACGAGGACGCCATTTTTATGTACATGTAGATATTAGGGCCGCGGTGATGGCGCTTCGATGGCCCCGAGCTGAGAAGGCGGGACTCCCGGCCGGGTGTAAAAATTACCGTTTCGGCGGCGGCGTTCCCAGGCCGTCACCGACGCACAACACGTTTTTGATACATTTTCGTTGATGGGGTGACGTTCACTTTGTGTCATGTTTAATCATTGGGAAGGAGGACTCCGGTCTGAACACAATCCGCTCTATAGATACTCATGGCGAAAGATTTTATAATATCGCCTATTAGTAAATTTAGGGGGAAGGGGGAGGTGCTAATATGCAAATGAGCTGATTTTGCAACGCAGACACCCAACACGTCAGATTTTACGGACAGCGGCGAGGTTCCCGGGGACACGCGGGGAATCATCACTTTCCTGTCCGACTATTAGAATGAAACGATTCACTTCTTTGTTTTGTTGTTTTCGGTTTCTCTGACTTCCGAAATAATCGCAAAATT